AGAAAGAGAGAGAGAAAGAGTGAACACAAGCAGGGGGGAGGGGCAGAGAGAGAAGGAGAAGCAGGTTCATCACTGAGCATGGAGCCCAATGTGGGGCTGGATCCCAGGACCCTGGGATCATGAGCTGAGCTGAAGGCAGACGCTTAACGACTGAGCCACCCAGGCGCCCCTTGAGATATTTTGTAGACAATTTTGTATCTTCCTCTTATTCACTTAATAGCATATCATTTTAAAGCCTTTCATTACATAATCTTTTAAAACTTTATTATGAAAATCTTGAACCTGTACAAAATATAGAAAGGCTAGTTTAATGAACCCCCATGTAGCCATCACCCAACTTCTCTAATTCTCAATGGCTGGCCAACCTTGTTTTATGTAAATCCTCTCCTGTATTATTTTGAAGTAAATCCCAGATATCATATCATTTTATCTCTAAGTATTTTAGTGTGATTCTCTAAAAGACAAGGATATGAAGAGAAAGCCCTTTTACTTAGCAAATAAATGCTGAAGTATTTAGGGGTAAAAGAGAATGATGTCTGCAACTTGCAAATAGTTCAGGAAAAAATAAGTAGGTAGGTAGGTAGATATGAGTAGAATATATGTAGGCGTTTTTTGGTACTATTCTTGAAATTCTTCTATAAGTTTGAAATATTTCTAAAGAAAACGTTTTTAAAATGTGAGTTACTAAAAAAATACATTTAAAAAATGTGATTTTCGGGCACCTGGGTAGCTCAGTCGTTAAGCGTCTGCCTTCGGTTCAGGTCATGACCCCAGGGTCCTGGGATGGAGCCCCGCATGGGGCTCCCTGCTCAGCGGGAAGCCTGCTTCTCCCTCTCCCTCTCCCGCTGCTTGTGTTCCCTCTTTCGCTGTGTCTCTCTCTGTCAAATAAATAAATTAAAAAAAAAAAATTTTAGATTAGAATAGTCTAACAACCTGATAAAATTTACTCACAAATTCTGAGTATGTTAGGTATAAAAGGGAACAAGATATACATTTTAATACAGCAAATGGGCAAACTCACTTATTAAATGTGTGATCTTGGGCAAATGACCAGATCCCTCTCAGCCTCAGCTTCCTCACCTGTAACAGGAAAAGACACCTGGTGGAATGTAAGCTTTTCCATTTTGCTCAGATGGAAATGTAAGTTCTCCACTTCTTTCACCTCATAAAACATTTCCAAATTACAGCAAATCTCTGATCCAAGTTATTAATCTGCTTTCTACTCTTAACTTTTCAACGTGGTCTAATGGATTCCTCCTCTTTTATCTTTTCCACCTGCTGGTCCAGCCTGTCTCCAGTTGGTGGCATCCTAGGTACCCACAATGCCCAGGGCCTGGGAGGTTAAGGCTGGTTCATGTGAACCAAGTTAGTCCTAGCTAACTTGGGGAGTGGGGATCCCTTCTACCAGGGCTTCTGCACAAGAAGAAGATTCCTACATCAGGGCAGAATGTGGATGGAGGAGGTTTTATCCTCTGAGGATCAGTGGAAAGATCTAGACTTTGGCATTGGTCAGACTTAGGTTTGAATCCTAACTCTGCTATATACTATGTGATGAGAAATACCAATTAGTTCCTCACCCAAAGTTGACGATAACTAATGCTCATCTTGAAGGATTATTGGGTTCGAATTAAATAATATAACAGCCAAAATATTGAGTATGTAGTAGGGTCTCAACAAATGGTTACTATTATAGCCTTAGCTCTGACCAAGGTAGAAAGCAGAAGTTCCTGCCTAGCTCTCTAGGCAAGATGTAGATGTTCAAAATAGCATTGGACTTTCCAAAAAATTTAAGTTAAAATATCATCCAAAGTCATTTTTAGTCATTGATAAATTAAGTCACCACGTCATTTCCAGGGCTAACTACATTCATTATAGACAGATGTAATAACCACGTAAAATTTTCCAAACATCTCAATTCTAAGAATTTAAACAAAAACGTTATATTTGCCGAAATTTCATTTGTAAAAATTTAGATTAGAATGGCCTAACCTGATAACAAATTTACCCACAACTGTTGAATGTCCATATTAGGTGTAAATGGAAACCAGCTGTAATTTTTAATGCAGTGAATGGAGTAAAGAAATGTGCAAACCAGTCCAAATGTTTATAAACCAACGATTCCTCTGGGACTCAGTGCCCTGACTTTACTCTTTTTTTAAACATACAGAGTCAAGCTTTGTTCATACTTGAATTATGTACCTTGCATAAGCCATGCAATTTAACTTTAACCCACAGGACTGAAAATAAAATGAGCTCAGACTGCAGAGCAACAAGACTGTGAGCAAGGAAGAGTGTTAATCAAAGTGAAAGACACACCCCTCATTGCTGCCTCTGTCCTTCTCTAGCCTGCTCCTGTCAGATTATTTAGGTTTCCTTATACTTGACTCCTCAAAGTGGCAGAAACAGGTTACAATTTTTATCATGAAAAAGGGATTTGTCTTTTAAATTAATGTTTGTGTATATGCCCTGAGGAGGTTGATGAGTAGCATGCAATTTTTAAAAATCATAAGCAAATGCATACCCTTGCCACTTGTAATCATGACAAAGCCTAAGTAATTCAGGCATGAGCATGGTTTTTTGTTTTTGTTTTGTTTTTTTTAAGGGCAAAACAGGATTTACTAGTCGAGAATGTCTGCCTAAACAAGCTCATCTATCTGAATGCTTTCAACTGCCGTTTAAATTTAACACAAGCAGGTTTGGTAAACGGGCCAAGTTTGCTCATTGAGCACTTTTAGAACATCACAAAATAAACCGATACATGGCTTTTAGGCTCATTTTGACAGAGGGTGGACAGAGAACCCACTGCGAGGTTTGGAAACCGCTTGCCTTGGCACCAGGTTTAAGAATATCAGTAGGGGACATGACCACATTCACCACCCTGTCCCTGTGAGGACATAACACTATTCACTCATCTCTTGAGTATCTGATATGGATTACTGTCCTTGTCACTGTCATTTATTATCCCAGGCAGAGGAGGCAGCGACTTAGTTCTACGTGGTCAGTGTTGATTCCACATCGTGTCTATTTAGCCTACATGATAGTAATTTGTGAGTATCTTCACATGATTGTCAAATGTTGTTAGTGGGGAATATCTGAACAGACACTAATAGCCTCAAATGCCTGGGTGTTCACTTCAACCTCCTCTGACCCCACCCTAAGGACCCTTCTCTATAGATGACCGTGTATTAAATTGGTACCTTGTAACTCAGCCTGATAGTCTCTCTAATTTTTGACCCCCATGGTAAAAAGGAGGAATTAGCCTAAGGACACTCCATTCTAATTTTCTGTCGCTGTCAGTGCTAACCAGAGCTCGTAGAGCAATGTTGTGGGGGTGGGGAAGATGGTTCCACCATTGGTGTTAGACCAGGAGCTACTGTTTCCGTTAGAGCCACGTTTATTTCTGAAGTAGTTGTGGGGGAGAGATGTGCTCCAAAGAGAGAAGAGGATTCGGTGTGGTTCAGGTATGACTGCCCATCTGGACAACCCAACCCAGAGACTAAGTATATGGGATAGAGGTGGGCTGGTGCTTCCCACACATTGAGCTGAAAATCACTTGGATTTTGGGGAAGGAGATAGAATGAAAGCTAGAAACAAAAGATCTGGTTGTGAAACCTAGTACCTAAGTTAAGATGTTCGAATACATTTTCTCCTTTAAAAAAATTCTGGGGAAATTGAATGTTTTTGCTAACCTGACTATTTTTAGCCAGTCCTTATGGAAGATGGAGGCGCTGGGAAACTAGCAACCCCAGAAAATATTAATTCATTTTTGCACGTGTTAAAATTAATTAACATTCGTATATTCAGTGATACAACAAGGCAATTAAGGACTTTGGAGAGGTAAGAAGAAAAATGTAAATATATATTCAAAATCAGGCTCATAGCATTTTATAAAAATGTTGGCTTACATCCAGGATCTAAGGGTGGGGGTGGGTATGGTTTCTTTGTAGCTGAAGAAAGTGGAAAAGAATCTGCTCTATTTCCTTAAAAATAAAAGACTTCTTGTTTTATACAGCATGGTAAATGAAATGCTTTTCTGTTTTTTACCTGCCGGCAGTTTCTGGAGGAAATTTTTCTAGCAAGCTATGCTGTTTTCCTCTCTTCGGGGACATGGTGACACTGGTTTTGTAGCAAAACAGTATTTGCTTATTAGGCATTTCTTCAAAATCCTGAATAAGCAGCTCTTTCCACATTTTTTGTTCCACATGTTAAACATTTCATTGCAATTTGAGCTTCAATTGTGTGTGTGTGTGTATTGATAGGAAGGATTGAAAGGGGATGCATAAGAATTCTTGAAGGTTTTTTTGTTTAAAAAAATTAATTCCTACAATTATGTATTGGACTCTCTACAGAAGGCAATTCCAATTTATTACACAGAGCCAAACTAGATCTCATCAATCTTAAGCAGCGGGGGTAGGGAGGTGGTATTGAAGAAGACATGAAATTTGGTGTTTGAGTAGATGAGATTTAATTTTCGGAAAACATTTCACTCATAAAACGGATGGCACCCCAGTGTCAGCCCTGACCTCCATGATGTCAATGTCATCGTGCAAGCATAGCTAAGATAAGCCTCAAAGTAAAACAAAGAAACATTGCATTTCAGCACACACCAGTTCTTCTCTTACAGTATGTACTATGTATATACATACAGCCTTTTGATATTCCTGTTAATGCCTTGTTACTTTACAATATAGCTTTTGGAGAGGGAGGGAGGAGAAAAATCATTTTGCATGTTCTATGTTCTGAGCAAGCGCGGTAAGTATGCTGCTGCAAGTCTTAACATTATTTAGGTCAGTATCCTAAGGATAGCTTTTATCGTTCACGATGGTCAGCTATACATCCAAAGGAATTCAGCATAAATTTATTTTTCTGTACTGATTTTATTTGCTTCTAAGTTTAAGCAAATTCATTCACATTTTAATACAATTGCAACTGAGAAGGTATCTGCCATTCTGTACTGCAGATACATTTAGCAGGATACATTTACACGGCTTGTGGTTAGAGGTGATAGCACGGATACAGACAGCCCGATCATGCATTCTTCTACAAGCCTGCCGGCATCATTTAGGATCTGAAAAATAATCTAGAAAAGCTATACCCTATATAATATTATTTTTTACTTTACAATAGCTAACTGTTTTTTGTTTTGTTGTTGTTGTTGTTAGCAATTCTATGAAATTAATCGTCTACAAAATGCATCCCAAACCAGATACATACTGTATTGAAAGCTTTCTTCAAGAAGATATGACAGTATTCATTCCAGCTTATTTTCTTCATTAGCAAAAGGATTGTTTGATTCTCAGAAGCAAAAGGACACATTCATTGTGCAGCAGCTCTGCTTAAGTGTATGAAATGCCTTCTACTGTCTGGTTGCAGAATTTGGAGTTTGCTAAACAGTGTTTAGTGATTGGGCTCATCTTGCATCACCAGTTGATGACATTTTTCTTTGTTCCCTCCTACCCAGTTGAACCAAGACTCTGAGGCTGATATGCAATGTCACTTACAACATTAATCAGATACTGCATTTAAGGTGAGCTGTCCCTTGCCTCCTCCTTCCCCAGTGCTCGTGTGCTGCATGCAGTGCGTATCTTGCTTCTGCGAGCCTAAGATGGCAGGCAGGATTAGCCGTGCTTTTGCTGTGTGTGCATGCTGTGTATAGAATTCATTACACGTTGCCTAGTATTTCAGATGTGAGTATGTAAATGCTCGGTATGCCATATCATCTGGTAGCGAAGACTTGTTTTTGCCTCATTACAGCCTTAGATATTTCAACATCACCTTTCAGTTCCGATTCATTTGCCTCTGGATGTTTGCTTTTCATCACGTTCAAAATAGGATTTTACCTTTTTTTTTTTTTAACAAAGCCAAAAAAAAAAAAACCCTAAAAACAAAAACAACAACAAAACTCTGCTACCAGATGGTGTCTCTCCTTTCTTCTTGCATTTGCTGTCTTTTAAATAATGTATGTTGTATTGTTAATTAATGTGAATATCAAATTAAACACTTGAAACTTACATATTTATTATGCAGGTAGGAGGCAAGGTGGAATCTATTTTTAACTCTTATGCACTCCATGGTGTGCAAACAACTTGGTTCTCAAATTTGTATTTTCAGTGCTGGTATCAGTGGTTTGATTTTCAGCAAATGTGACAGTGGCCTTTGCAGTGGTCAGCTCCGGGCTTTGAACTCTCAGAGGAGGAAGGGAAAAAAAATTCAACACACCACCTCCTTGGTTGCAGCCTCAGAGAAACCTTGGATGAGAAACTTCTTTTTTTCAATCCTGTTTTCCTGTTGATAAATTCAGTTCTCGTGATCACAGTACATTCAAGCTGTTCTGCGTATGATTTTGTGTGTGTGTGACAATTGCATCTAAAACTTGTGAGCAAGAAGACGGAGAAATCAGTTGGTCTCCATCGCTTTACATAAAAATGGCTGAGTGTCTTGTCATGCTAGCACTGCATTAAGTGATACATACAGGTAGGTCGAAATTTGCATGTTTTATAGATTTTTTTGAGCCATGCAGCAAGAATTTTAGATGGATTAAAATATGACTTTTGGAACAAACATTAAATAAGACAGCTGTAATTTTTTGGAGGGAGGGCATTAAATTGGATAGGCTTTCCTATTCAGATACTATATAAATATATAGCTTTGATAAACTCACAAAATGATTCTGCTATAATAGTGAGATGATTCCTTTTTAAAAAATCATATATATGATAGGTGTGGCGCCATTAGACAACAAAAGAATTTTTTGAAAAGTCTGTTGATTCAGCTCCATTTTAGCTTGAAACTAAAAATAAATGGGTTTCTTGAGATAATTTCAAAGAGCGCAAACAAGCTTAATAAGAAACATTTAAAATATTTAAATTTTAAGAAGCGGTCTTTAAACGTGTTATATGAAAGATGGAAATAAAAACTTACATGCTTCCAAAATCAATTTTAGATAATATAGAAGAATAAATATGCTATTTGTATATCTATTATCCGGAGAGATGAGGAGTTACAATTTTTGAAGGGGGGAGTATTAAATGTAGATGGCCCTGTTAGAAGAAAAAGAGCTTCACTGAATGAAAAAGAGTCCCTAGAATGGTTCATTGCAGATCATACAGCTGTGGTTCTGTAAGTACCAAATTCTGGCACTTTTCAAAATAATTTCATGGGCTCTTTCCTTTGAGCTTAACTTCCGAAATATATTTTAGTTTCAAATTAACACTGGGCCAGAACCTGTTTCCTTGGTAACCAAATCTTGTTTAAAAATGCAATAACAGATATGCAAAAGATTGTCTTAAAAAAAGAAACAAATGGTTAATGAAAATTGTACAGTTCTTTTTCCTCTCATATAGAGTCTGGACTGGTTTTAGACGTTTTTAAATGCGGTCTTCAAGCCTTAAAAATTAAGCCATATTTCTACACTTATAGAGAAAGCTTGCACAGGGAGAGCTTTTTTCTTCCTCATTTGTGCTCAGTACTTTCAAAATTAAGATTTTCTTTGTAACATGCCCCAGAATGCTGGTCAAGGTCTGTGTACAGAGGTGTAGTTTCATTATCACTGGTTCACCAGCGCCCCTGAAACAAAAGGCATCTCAGAAATTCTGAGAATCAGAAAATGCTTGTGCTCTTGTTTTCCCTGATCCCTCCATTGGTAACCTCAGAGCTCTCGGTAGAGAAGGACCCAAACCCAGGCCCACCCCCCCAATGAGAAGTGCACATGGAGCCTTTGTGGGAACGTCTTTGTAGATGTGCTCGGAGGAAGATACTGGCAAACCTGAAACCTCTATGAGGTTTGCTCCGATGTGAAGAACATCGAGACTCAGAACCATCTGTGTAAATAGCTGCTTTATTCTAGCAGTTGGTCTAATGTTCCAAAGTACCGTGTATAAAGTCAAACCTCTTATGGGCTAAAGGTTTGTTGCTGCTGTTGTTGTTGTGTTGTTTTGAGGCCAACTTGAATATTTTGCTTGGAGTCTTTCTCTGGCTCAATGATATCAGAACATGATTCATCCCATAGTGATTTCGTTCTTTGGGCTTGCCATGAAATATCCCTCCTGCAACACCTTTTCTTTTCTTCTTTTTTTTTTTTTTTTTTGGGCTGTTCGGGGGGCCATTTTCCTTCTTGTTTGTGACTAAAAATGACTAAGTACATTTTGAATGTAACATCAATCAGAAGATCGTAAACTGAAGGGGAATGTCGGAAACCTGATTCAGTCTTGCCTGTTTATTTCAGTAACAGTAGCATTAACAGTTGCAGGAGGATCAAGCTAATTGTCATTCACTCTTGAGCAAATAATGAGCCAGGCATTTGTGATTAAGACACTATTGCTATTCAGAAAGATTACAACTACAATGTCTTCTGTTTTGATAGGCCGGTACAAATCAATCATTTTGAACCTCTTTGAATCTTAATCACAAGATTAGATGGATACAATGCGATTGTTTTACCACAAAAATGAACGCCTGATAGATTCAACAGTGTATTTCTTCTTTATAAAATGTTGATCCTTTTATTGTTAACTCAAGCATGGTTGCGTCATCTCGTAGATTTTCATACCTAATGATTTTTTTTGTGTGTGGCATTATTCATTTATGGTGCTCTTGGTCTTGCCTAAAAGAATTTTAAACACAATTCAAGGAGGTTGAAAGCCAAATTAGACCGTTGGGAAGTATATTGCACCGTTGTCATTCTAATAAATAGACCACAGAATGGAAGAATGATTATTATTTATTACTTTGTTGTGTTTCGCCTTAATGCTTTGCCTTCATATTTCACAGAAATATTTACAAGGCACAAGGCTTTTCTAAACGTACCCATTTGCAATTATTATTGGATGTCCTAGTCTAGCTAAAAACACTTCCCGATGATCGCAGAGATGGCACCTACCCCTTCTCATTGTTTAAAAGGCTGTGCTTAACCCATTTACACTTTTTGGCTAAGGTGCTTATACTGGGCAGGCCAGAGCAGGTGCGACAGAAAGAATGTGCAAACAACTGCTTTGTTCTCACCAAAACAAAATGAGCAAATCTCTGGTTTCCTACCTGAATGATTTATAGTCTACAATTCTCAACTCTTTTTCTTTGGAGAATAGGAAATGTTTTTCTGAGCCTTAACTCAGTAAGAATACCAATATAGCATCTCCTGCCACTAGAGTTACATTGATCTACTTCATTCATTTCCGTGGATCCCCCATAGAGAGACTGGCAGCCAGACCCTGTTTTAGAGCTGGTTGGTAGGGGAAGAAGGATCAGTAAAAAGATCTAGCTCCTCACTGGGTGTTATATGCAAACAATGAATCATGGAACACTACATCAGAAACTAATGATGTAATGTATGGTGATTAACATAACATAATAAAATAAAATTTAAAAAAAAAGAAGATCTAGCTCCTTTATCTTTAATACCAAATCCTGCTAAGCCTTTGAGTTCCTGGAAGCATGTGGTTCATTCTAACAGCTCCCTTCCAGGGGAAATGCTGTTCTTAACAGCTTTGTTGGTAATTAAATATTTGACACATTTATTGAGCACCTACTATTGGAATATGCCAGGCATATTCCAAAGGCTGAAATAGAGTAATGGGCAAGAGAGATCAGGGCCTGCTTCTTAGAGACCTGTCTCTAGTGTAGCGGAGTGGCGGGGATGGGGGAACTCAAAAATAAATGTGTAAACAATTAAGGGAGACAAGTGCAAAGAAGAAAATTAAAATAAAAATTTAAAAGGCAAGAACGATATGTTGGGAGGAGGAAAGCCACCGTAGAATGATTGGCCTTCCTGAGGAGGTGGCATTTAAAAGCGGAGACCTGCATGGTAAGATGGACCCAGCCAGGTGGAGTTCTGAGGGGATCATCACGAGGCAGAGGAGTGCGCGTGCTCAGACTGCAAACACCTTTCTTTGTGTAACTGCCACTATAACAGAGCCAGGTCTGATGACTTGGCAGGTTAAGCCTTTCCTAGGTCAGCTTCCCCTGCAGTGAGAAGGGTGGGCCGGGCCCATGGCTGGTTTTGGTCAAATTGCCAGGACGCAGTGCCAGTGAGGTTACTGCCTTTGACCCAGTCCCACCCGGAAACCACCTAAGAAGGTGCAGTGGTGCTGATGAAATGCTGGCATAGATTTAGCGCTAACCCCAGAAATCCACAGCAGAAAGGATTCTCAGAGAGTTCTTTTCCGTAAGAACTCCAGAAAGTCAATTCATGACAACACATTGACATGACCATTTCCTTTATTTTTTTCCAAAAGCAAATGGTGGAAGGGTCTGTCCCACCTTGCCAATGAATTGTCTGTGTCCTCTAACACCTAAAACTCTTCAGTTTTACAGATCTCTTTGCCTGACAGTGGCTTTCTAAAGACCTTACTACTTGGAGTGGTATTTCTCTATTTGGGCAAATAATACCAAAGAAATTCTTTTTAAGAACCAGATCGCTTTTAGGCTTTTTAGAAAAGTTAGTCTGCTGATAAAGCTCTGAGAACAAAGGGATATGATAGGTTTGCTATATAAGTTAGAGACTATAAGACCCTTGGGGCGCCTGGGTGGTGTAGTCGGTTAAATGTCCAACTTAGATTCCGCTCAGGTCGTGATCTCAGGGTCCTGAGACTGGCCCCTGCGTCGGGCCCCTCAGTGCGTAGTCTGCTTAAGACTCCCTGTCCCTCTACCTTTGCCCCTTTCCCCCTTCACTCACTCACTCACTCTCTCTCAGATAAATAAATAAATCTTTTTTTAAAAAAAGAAAGAAACGGGGGCGCCTGGGTGGCTCAGTCGTTAAGTGTCTGCCTTCAGCTCAGGTCATGATCCCAGGGTCCTGGGATCGAGCCCCACATCGGGCTCCCTGCTCGG